GGAAGAGGGGAGTCCCTCTAGGCCTCTTGCATCCTAAGCAGGGGGTCTCTTTGCTTCCACAGAGAAGGGCGTATCGTACAGCTTGTGAACCTGTGAGCAAGTACAGGGTGAGATCGTAAGCCCAGGCCTATCTCCTTGGGATAACTTGACAGGATCCTTGCTTACTCTCCAGAGATACCTCCAACTTCTGGTCTAGTCTCCTGGAGGGGAGGGATGAAAGTGCCAATGGGTGGGGATGAAATGCCAGGGGTGTCACGAAAGACCTGGTTGGGGGGCTAGGGACCCATCAGTGATGGGAGTGCAGTCCCTAAGCCCCTGTCATCCATGCCTCCCCTTTCCCAAAGACGCTGCCCCCCATCAAGAACCAGTGGTGTCTCAACTGCCCAACCAGCTGGAACCTTAAGATTGCAAAGGAGGAGACACGCTGGCCATGCCCCCAGCCGCCCTCGCCAGGGATGCTCAGCTTAAGCCTCACTGCCCGCGCCCATGCCACCGACTACTTCCTGGCCAACTTCTCTGACTTTCCCCGCCACTCCTTGCACCGGTGAACCCTCAGGGAGGGCGGGGTCTGCTTGCTCTGCTCTCTGCCACCCTCCCGCTCTAGAACACGACTGCCCAGACCTAACCCTTGCTGAGGGCTTGGAGCACGTGCGGCATCACTGGGACTCCTGGGGCACTGCTGGGCCCAGAACGCCCCCATTACTGTTAGGCCCTTATGAGGAGGGGGCAAAGAGCCAGAGCCCCTGGGGAACCTGCTTAGGCCTCCCTGCCTCCCCTCCTTCCTTCCCTTTCCAGCTTGGAGCCTCTCCAGGTCCTGTGCCGACTCTGAGAGTCGGGCTTGGTTCCCCAAATGCAGCGGCACTATGTTGGGTTAAGGCTGGGGGCCGCCCCAAACTCACCTATGTCCTCATGACTGGGCAGCCACCATCACTGCTCATGCCCCCAACCCCAGCGTGGTGGCTTGCCCAGGCCACTCAGAATGCCACGGCCTGCCCCAGGGAGTTGCCAAAGAGGAGGTACCCCAGGGAGGAGTCGGAGGCTGGCGAGGAAGAGTCCACGGACAAGTGGGCCCCTGTCTCCAAGCAGAAGCAGCAGCTCCTGACTGACTGTCTCACCACCATAATCAGGTGACCACCCACCCCCTAAACGCTCACCCCTCCATCTCCCTAGTTCATTCATCAATTCTGGGTCCACCCAAAGCCCCTGAAATCCCAGCCCTTCCTTTCCTGAAAGATAGAACTTCCTCACAAGATCCTTCCACTGGTGGTCCCAGGCCCTCGAGGATGGTACAGCTCTAATGGAGCTGGCTGGAGGGATCCTCAGGGCTGGGTCCCGAGTTCTGCCTTTTCATGGCTGGTAGATGTGGTCTGGAGCCAGTTCACTGTCTCTCCAGGGCTCCGGGCCTCATCTGTGTAACTCTGACATCCTGGCTTTTCCTCTACCATATAACGTTCACCTTTAAGAATCCACGGGGCCCAGAGATGCCTTTTTCTAAAGAAGGAATGGGAGGGAGCAACTGATCAGGGGCTCCCCTCCCCGCACCTAGCACCTGTTTGTGGACAGAGTAGCCAAGAACCACCCCTTGGGGAACCCTGAAGCCAGAGCCCCCCACAGCGGGCTGCAAGGCCTCTCAGTGAGGACCTCCTCCTCCTCCCTGCCACCCAGGGGTCTGCTGGAGGACAAGATCTTCCATGAGGCTGTGGACCGAAACCTGGTGGAGCAAATGCCTTACTTCTGCCAGTTCTGGAATGAGCAGTCGGCAAGGTTCATGGCCCAGAGCAGCAGCCTGCACTTAGTGCCAGCCACGTCTCAGTCCTGCAACAGCTCTGAGGTCAGCAAAGACAAAGAGAAGGAGGAAGGCAAACGGAGGCTGAGGAAGAAGGAAGAGGGGGAAGAGGAGGAGCTGGAGGAGGAGGAAGAGAAGTTGCCCTGGACGGAGACGAAGCCCACGCTGCAGCGCACGTCCCGGGAGTCTCTGAAATGGCAGTGGCAGCAACAGCTGAAGGTCTCACTGAAGGAGAAGCAAGAGCAGGATGAGAAGGAGGCCATCAGCCGGTAAGCAGCCAGACCACGGTGAGGGTTTGGGGGGTGCGGGGTCAAGTGCAGAAGGATCCTAGGAGGCAATGGTGTGCTGGGGCTCTACCTGTGTGAGCTTCTCTTTCCAACTCAGTGTTCATTGACATCACTGTTGGACGCTTAAGGCCTCAGTGGGAGGCGATCCAAGCTTTAATTTTTTTCTCCAAGAGCGGACTATTAACGTTTACCATCACACCACTTCCAGGAGGGCGATTATAGCCGTCAAAGTCTCTTAAATGGGTTTTTAGAGCCAGGAGAAAAGTACCACCTCTTCTTGCACCGCCTTTCCCTGGGGCTGCTCTGGGGCTTTCTGTCCGTGGTGGGATTCCCCAGGAGTCCCTTCTGCACCGTCTCATCGCTCGATGCCTTTCCCCAACCCTGGCCCTGGGATGGGGACTCCGATTCCCCGGGCTCGAATCCCACCACGTGTACCAGCAGCGTGACGTTTGGCAACTTGGTCTGTTTAAGCCGTAGTTTGAACGTCTGTAAAATTGGAACAAGGATGCCTCATAGTGTTGGGAGGGCGGGGAGTTAAAATGAGAATCCGCGTAGAGCACGCGGCAAACGATACAGCACAGAGGAGGCCAGCGGAGAACGAGAGCGCGGTCGGTGGCGGCGCTGACCCCGGCGCCCCCGCCTCCCGCCCCGTAGGCTCCCGGCTTTCGTTAGCCTGCAGGAGGCGCTGCTGGAGAACATGATCCAGAACATCCTGGTGGAGGCGAGCCGCGGGGAGGTGGTGCTCACTTCGCGGCCACGCGTCATCGCCCTGCCGCCGCTCAGCGTTCCCAGGTCGGGGGGGCCCGGGCCAGCGGCCGCTGGAGAGGTGCGAGGGGCTGCAGGGGCGGGCAAAACTATATTACTTTCTTTTGCTCAAAAAGTAACCCGCTACCTGGGGCTTTCTGTCATCCAGGATTCTGACTCCCGACTCGCTGCCGGCGGCGTCCCCGGGGCCGCAGCAAGCGGAGATGCCCTGCTCGACTGAGCCGACCTCCACCAACTGTTTGCAGACGCCAGCGCCCACCCCCTCCGACTTGCAGCTCTAGGTTCCTGCCGCCCCCCTCTCCATCACCCCCCAGTAAAGCATCTATAGCTTTATTTCTATATCTGCCTTAACTTTATTTCCCCGACGCGACAAGAACTTGCGCGCGCGGTCTCAGAGGGACAGACGGTGGAAGCGGCCAAGGTGGACCGCCTCGACTCATTGGAGACTTAGGGGCTGGGAGGTTGCGCCTCTCCACTCAACTCGGCAGCTGGGCAAGAGTTCTCGCTACTCGCTGCCAGGCGCTGGACCTGGTCTGGCCAGTGGAGGGCGCTTCGGGCGGATCCTGGCTGGCCTTTGACCCAGCAGAGCCGGGTGGACAGGAGCCGAGCGTCAGGCCTGGTCTGCGCAGCAGGTGGCCACGGAGCAAGGTCGCCACCCCTACCCTTTCCCCGCCGCGCTTGCTCTGAGGCTTGGCCCTTCCACCTCTAGCTTTTTCTCAGCATCTGCCGGGCTCCCGGGACTCTGCTGAGGTTGGGAAATCGAGGCACTTAGCGGAGGGCCAAGAACTAGACGCTGGGGTGCGGGTGGAGATCATCGCTAGACAGCGGGCCACAGACCCTACTAAACGACTCTCATCGTGAATCTGAATCCCCAGACCAGGGGATGTCCCACTTTCCCTAGGATACCCACCTCCGGTTCCCCCTAACCTCCGCCTGGCAGCCTCTGTCCTCGGCTCCTCCCCCCCTCTCCCCGAGGCAGGTGGGTGGAAAAGTGACATCTGGTGTTGTTCCAGAGGCGCCCAGGTCCCCGACACCCCGCCCCCCTCCACCGCCACCGCCAAGGACTCGGAGGAGCTCCTGCCCCAAAGCCTAGGCGGGGGCGGGGAGAGGGGCGCTCCGCCTCCTCTGAGTCAATATTTGCCTCGAGCAAACGGGCGCCCGGACAGGTGTGAGTGTGTGTGTGTGTGTGTGCGTGTGTGTGTGTGCGCGCGTGTGTCTAGGGGCGGGGACTGAGTAGACCGTATAAAGCGCGCTGAGCCGGGGCTCCGGCACAAGCTCCGGGGCGTGCGCTGGGGACCAAGCCAGGCAAGGCCCGGCCGGGCGGAGGGTGGCCAGGAAGGGAGGGGCGGGCCAGGTGCGCACCTGTAGTGGCCACTGCGGCCGCCGACGTGTCAGCCGCAGACGCGCGCAGGGGAGGGCGGCAGCTAGCGGAGTGCTGTGCCGCCCTGCGCTCGCCGAAGACCAGGACCAGGAGACCACCGAGGGCCACAGCCTGGCCCCGGGCCCTCCGCTCCCGCCCCGCGACGAGCCCCTCGCACAAACCGGACCTGAGCGTTTTGTTCGTTCGGCTCGCGTGAGGCAGGGGCGGCCTCTCAGCACCCGCCCGGGGGCCCGGCCCGATCGCCACGCAAGCACCTGTCGCCGCCGCCGCCGCCGCCATAAGGGTCGGAGAGGCTGTGCGCCGCTCCGCGGGGAGATCCAGCTCCCATCCGGCCCCGCCCGCCCTGCCTGGTCCTGCCCGCAACTCCTGGGCTGCCCGGCTCGATTCCGGATAATACGGGCCGGCCGAGCAGGCTCCACCGGGTGGCATGGGGGGCTGTGGGCCTGGTCAGGAGCCCTTCCGGAGGTGAAAACCCGCCTTCTAGTCCGGCTCTGTCCCAGCGACTTCTGTGGCCTTGGGCAAGTCATTTCATGGCCTCTCCTCGGGCTTTCCTCCAACCCCCATCCCCCATTTGCGCAATGAGGGGGGTTGGTCTGGCCTCCCGCGTGGGCCCCACCACTCCCCATATCCTAGTTTCTGGGCTTTTAGCAATACTTTTGAGGCCCCTGACCTGGGAAGTTTGAGGCTCTCAGGGGGTTGGAACAACAGCTATGAGGTGTGGAAAATCTGGGTGGGGGAAGCTAGAACCACAGTGGATCAAGTCCGGCTCCTCCACATATCTTTGGTGCTGACATCCTGAGGGTTCACTCCCTTCCATCTCCTTGACCCATCCTTCAGTCTTCCCATGTTCAAGACAGACAGACTGATTGAAAAGGACAAACACGGGGTCCGGTAGCCCTTGCCTGATGGGGTTCCCAGGCACTGCAGCTCACTGCCTTTCCCAGACTTCATAATCCCGAGGCCTCTTGTTTCAGTCAGCTGGAGGTGGGGTAGGTCTGAGTGGCCCTCAGATTAGGTGGGAGTCCATGGGTCATTAGCCACAACCCAAACCTAGGACAGACCACCCCCCTTTTCAGTGACTCAAAGTGTTAAGATCTGATATGGGGGAGGAGGATGAAGATTGCCATAGACCCCTGGCCTCCTGCTTGGAGAGCCTAGAACTGAGGCCTGGGGTCAGTCTGAGCTCCCAGTCGAGTCTCTGCCCTGTGATTCCAGGTGTACTCCATTCCACCTCCCAAAACTGATGGTGATGCTGAGCCAGCCCCGGAGGGAAGGGCCAGTTGTAGATCAGGGGTGGAAGGAAGGCTCCTTGGACAGCAGTAAGGAGCCCAGTTTCCCCTAAGGGTGAGGAAGCTTTATGGGGAGGGACTGTACCCCACACACCCAGGCAGAGGCAGTCCCCAGGGAGATGGGAATGAGGGTCAGGAGTCACTGGTCCTTTCTGACTCCAATTTGGATGTTCCTGGGGGTGCTGGCTTTCCCCCTCCACTTTCCCCCCACTCCACTGCCACCCCTCACCCAGCTACCCGCAGGCTCCACAGGATCTGCTGAGTCCTTGGCACAGAGAAAGGGAGGGGGAGGGGATGAGATGGCTCTGACGGATCCCAGGCAGGTCTGGGGAGAGGGTGGACTGCAGGCTGGATCTCCGTGCAGCAGCCTGGGCCATGAGGGCGAGGGGAAGTCCATGGGTCCCAGGCTGGGTGTGTGCAGCCCCTATCCTGGCCTCCCAGCCTGGCAGTGATTGATTCGCCTGGCCCTGGTGCTGGCACATCTTCCCTGTGTCTCTGAGGGCTTCCTCTCCCCTTCCCCAAACATGGAAGGTGGCTAGAGCACTCCCCCTCTGGCTAGGATTCCAGATTCTGGGGCTGCACAACAAAAAGGTCTCCCCTTGGAATGACCGCCCCCCCAACACACACACACACACACACACACACACACACACACACACACACACAGCAGACCTGTGGGGGGGGGAGGGAAGAATGCCTCC